GGAGGATTGGCAATAGATGTTAGCTCAGAACTGGTCTTCCTCAGCAAAAAGAGGAGGATTAGCATGGATGTTAGCTCAGGGCTGATCTTCCTCACACACAAAAAAAATTATTTCAAGAAGTAATCAGTTATTGCATACTTGTTGTAAAACCTTCAAATTGCACAAAACTACATAAGATAACTAAAAGTAAAATTCTTTTTCTTGACCTTTGCCATTTCCAACCAACTTTCTAGTGGTAACAATTTTCTATGTATCCCTTCATATGTATTTTAGGCCTAAAGATGTAAATAAATAGGTGTGTGGCGGGGGGGCTGGCCCCGTGGCCTAGTGGTTGAGTTCTGGCATGCTCTGCTTTGGCAGCCCAGGTTCGGTTCCTAGGCACGAACCTACACCACTCATTGGTGGCCATGCTGTGGTAGCGATCCACATACAAAATAGAGGAAGATTGGCCCAGATGTTGGCTCAGGGCAAATCTTCCTCAAGCAAAAAGAGGAAGACTGGCAACAGATGTTAGCTCAGAGTGAATCTTCCTCTGCAAAAAAAAAAAAAAAAATAGGGGTGTGTGTGTGTACGTACATATATGCTTTGTTCGTAAATGTCATCTTTTTAAACAATATATTTTGCAACTTACTTTTTGGAAGAAACACTATATCATAGAAGTCTTTCTATATAGTCATAGATATTTAGTTGGATGGATGTATAATTAATTTAACCAGTACTCTATTGATGGACATTTGGGTTGTTTCCAGTTTTTTGCTATTATAAATAATGCTACGGGAAATGTATTTATACATATCCAATAAAATAATAGGATAAATTCCTAAAAGTAGAATTATTGAGTCAAAAAATATGTGGGTTGGTTTTTTTTTTTTTTTAGTATTGATAGATATTGCCAAATTGCTTTCCAAAAAGACCATACCGAGTTCTGCTCCCACCAGAACTTTTACTCACACCTTTACCAGTATTGGATGTTATTCTTCTGAGGTTCAGAATTTTTTCTGGATATTTTTACAAGTTTAATCTTCCATATGAACTTTAAAATCAATTTCTATGGAATAATTTTGTAAATATTTCGGTTAACATTTACTTTATAAGTGAATTTATGGCAAATTAACTTTACCTATGCAAGATAAGGTATGTTTTTCCATTTTAATGACATCTTTTGTTCTTCAGTAGAGAGACTAAATATCATTGATTAAATAGTCCATCTTTTTCGTTTGTTACTATTTATTAAGTACTTACCATGGCATTCCATTGAAATGCCACCCAAATACTGAGTTGGCCTTTCTGTGGATTTCTATGGTTCTGTGTAGTCCTGTACAAACTGTTTTCATTATTGCCCATTTTAATATCTTGGTGTCTTATTTAACCCCTTCCAGTATCAATTTATTGATTTATAATGTGGTAAAAATATTTATTTTGCAAGGTTATTGGGAGAATTAAAGATAATATTATTAAAAGTGCTTGCCACATACCTGGCAGGCTCTGAATGGAAATTGCTGTTCTTTTCAACATCATCAACATCATTAATACGTGAGAACCCAGAGGGTCAACATGGCTACTTTGAAAATCACTAAATTTCGTTTGGAATTTTATCTTAATTTGTAAGCCACCTTCAGAGGTAAAGGGAAATTAGAGTTTATTTATCATGTACAATGTGCTAGGCGCTGTGCTAGGTGCTAGGGAGGCAGAATATGCCATAGTCCTTGTCCTTAGGAAGCTTATAGTCTGGTGAGGGAGAAAAACAAGTAAATCGGTGATAGATACAACGTGATAAAGTGCTGAGTTAAAGGTAGTCACTGGATTATATGGGAACATAGAAGAGGGGAATTTAAATTATGTTATTAATCCTCACTGCTACTCTGCATTTTTATTCCATTTTTACAAATAAGGAAACTGAAGCTGTGAGGTTAAGTGACTAAGGCCACACAGCTACTAAGTGGCGGAACTGGTGAAAAGATTCACCTAGGTCCATCTGACTCCAATGCCTCTGCTCTTCCTTTATATATTTTAAACAGTTCAAAAATGTAAACCTTTTTTACCCAAAACACGCCTTATAAATTTCTAGTCTTAGAAGTATTTTTATAGAAAGGCTAATAAGTGAGGAATACGGCCTACTAAATTTCAGATTTTAATCCTCTTACTAGCTGGAGGCCTTTTCTTATTTCTAGTTCACATTGTTAGCTCATTTAAGTTAGCTTTGGAGGGGCTTTTGTCTTTTGAGAAATAAATTAGCAAAATCCTGTTGCTTTGCTTTTATGTCAACATCTGAAAATGTTCACATTTGTTTAAATAGGTGAAGCTGAGCCCAGAGCTGCATATACAGCTAATCTATAAAAATGTGTGGGAGTAAAGCAATCTGAAGGAAATTCAAGACCACAAAATTGACTCAGCGAAATACATTGTATTGTTCATACCAAGAATAAGAGTGTTTGAAGAAAGACCTTTATTCTGCTAAATCATGATGGAGGCAGAAGAACAAGAGCCATGGAAGACAGCCTTTTACTCAGAATTACCTAAACTGGTGAGAATTCAGCCACGGAATTCTGGAGTGGTTGCTAATTATAATGACTTCTGTGTTGTTTCTTTTCGCAAAAGAAAAGTAAATTTTATGGATAGAATTTGTAAACTTTGTAAGCTTTGAAAGTTATATAGCTATATCTAGTAGGCAGTTGCCTAGTAGTACAGATTACAAGCATCAAGCACCTGGTATGATGCTATGAATCTAGTGGATACTTGAGAAGATTTTACTGATTATATTCTCTTGTTTTAGGAACTTCATGCCCACTTGAATGGGTCCATTAGTTCTAATACTATGAAGAAGTTAATAGCCAAGAAGCCAGGTCTTAAAATCCATGATAAGATGACTATAATTGACAAGGGAGAGAAAAGAACTTTGAAAGAGTGAGTTTGGGGAGGTTGTGGACATACTTCTTTTTTTCTCTATCACTATTTTGAGATTGTGAATAGTATTAAGAATTTGGATTTTAGTAGTTAAAGGAATAGGGTAGCCATCTGGTATGGAGAGTAGAATTTGACATACAGTGTTCTTTTCAACTGTCAGACTGTTGACAGTATTTTTGGTGATTTATGTTGATTGTGAATTTATGCTATATTGGAATATTCTTTAAACTTGAAAACATAAGCTTATTGATTTTTTTCCCCCCTGTTGGCTGCTACCAGCAGGGGGTTGGGGGTGGAGAGGAGAACTATTATTTCTGAATTAGAAATATCAGTAATATTTTATTTTCAATCATGTGATTATCCTTCCAGATCAATGTAATTTTTGAAAAACTTATTCTGTAGTTTTTTATAAATATGTAATTACTATCAGCCTAAAATCTATTACTTCAGCTTAGAGAGTTTGTCTTGAGTGACAAGTTTTTGATGACTAGAGTATATTAAAATTTTTCATGTTGCAGATGTTTCCAGATGTTTCAAATTATTCATCAGCTTACTACCAGCCCTGAAGATATTCTAATGGTGAGAAATGAAGCAATTTTTAAACTGGTTTAAAAATTATTAAGTAATTTATGCCCTTCTGTTGTCGCACATGACCTTTTGCTTTCATCAGGAGTCTGATGAAAAACGTTTTCTGCTTTTTTATAGGAACTCTTTTCAAAACCAGTGTAAGATACTTGCGTAAGAACTAATATCAATAGACTATGTTCATTATAAAAGATATGAGGACAGGGGCTGGCCCAGTGGTGTAGCAGTTAAGTGCACGCGCTCCGCTGCGGCGGCCCGGGGTTCGGATCCCGGGCACGCACCGACACACCACTTGTCCAGCCATGCTGTGGTGGCGTCCCATATAAAGTGGAGGAAGATGGGCACAGATGTTAGCCTAGGGCCAGTCTTCCTCAGCAAAAAGAGGAGGATTGGCAGATGTTAGCACAGGGCTGATCTTCCTCACACACAAAAAAACAAAAAGATAGGAGGACAGAACCAAGATCACTATCTTATCTTAGATAGAGGACAATATGGAGGAGAATATCTTGTCCTGTTTTCCATATGTAACATATCATATGAAATATTTGACCACAGATGGGCATGTCTTTGATAAGGCTTTACCTGTATTGCTTGGGATAGTTTTAACTGCCTGGGTGGACATTGTAGAGAATGAAGAAGTTCAAGAAATGCTTACAGAGTGAATGATTAATCCCTAGGGAATTGTGCCTTCCCTCTGGGGATGAAGGACTCGAGGACGCCACTGTGTTTTCTTATCTGAAGCTCTGTGATACTAGAGTCTGATATGGAAGACTGGCTTCTGTATCATTGATCTGACCAGGATGGCATTTTAAAATGTGCTCTTTGTAAAAAGAGAGAAGCAAAATCGTGTCAGAGTTAACTTTCCTCCAAAAGGTGATTAATTTACTTAATATTTATCATGAGAATCAGTCTCAGCCAAGGAGGAAAATTCTCTCTTGACCAGTCGAAAGTTAGTTCTTCAGAAACATAGGTTATACTTCTTACTTTGCATTTTTTCTCATGGTTACATATAATAAATGAACTATGTGTGGGAGTAAGCCAAGAGATTGTTTGTAAAGGTGGGACTGAGTGTGTGGGGATCACTTAACAGTCTAGTCAAGGTGACCTGGGTGTAATCTCAGAGAGAGAGGATTGAAATGTGACTGAAATAGTATTAACTCTTGCATGTGCCAAACACTACTCTCAAGACTGGTTTCTGAGATAGGTGTTTTTATTGTTCCCTTTTGGCAGATGAAAAAACCTGAGGCTTAAAGAGGTTAAGTGTAACTTGTTCAAGGTCACCCACAGAGAGTAAGTGGCAGAATTGACTATCTCTCTGGTTCCAGAGCCCATGTTCTTTCTCATTCAAGATACACAGTCTTACCATCCTCTGAGTAAGCAGAAACTTAACTAATTGTGATGTACTCTGTCTGAAGAAAGAACTTGAGTATGTGTTCTCAGTCCAGAGCATAGGAAAGGAAAGTCCAAAGAGCACAGAATTGCCCTCAGGACCTGTTGCTGCGTGGAGCAGAAAGGGCTGAATCTGCAGACACAGATATGGACCCCAGGGAAGGGTTCCTGGACACGGGGTAGAGATGATTCCCCAGGCCTCACCGTGGCTTAGATAATCTTCCTTCCATTGCTCTCATTCTGTACTTGCTATCAATCTTCTGTTGTTCTATTTGGTCTCACAGATACCTCACCACCAGGAAAGGGGTTGCCCTGGATAGTAGATATTATCACTTCAGTCACTGAGAAGGACTACCACTTCACACTCTCACTTCCACCCTCGTCAGTGCATACATGAACAAATAGGCTTCTGGGTCTGGCCCCGTGGCATAGAGGTTAAGTGCACACGCTCCACTTCCTGGCAGCCCGGGTGTGGATCCCGGGCACACATCGATGCACTGCTTGTCAGGCCATGCTGTGGGGGCGTCCCATATAAAGTAGAGGAAGATGGGCATGGATGTTAGCTCAGGGCCAGTCTTCCTCAGCAAAAAAGAGGAGGATTGGCATGGATGTTAGCTCGGGGCTGATCTTCCTCACAAAAAAACAAACAAATGAACAAAAAAAACCAAATAGGCTTCTGCATTAGTCTCTTATGAGCTGGGGTAGAGTGAGTTGGCCTCTCTGGGTCTGCTCAGAAGTAATGTCATTACTTTGTTCTGAAGTAATGTCATTACTTTGTTCTGAAGTAATGACAAGATGCAAGTTTTTCAACCTGCAAAGACTAGGCCCACACTCTGGTGGTGGCAGTGGCAGCAACATGGAGTTCCTGGGGCAGCAGTGCCACAGGGTCCGGTGCCTGCCATGATGGTGCAGAGGCTGCAGGGTCATGCTCAGTGGTGGAGGAAGCAGTGATGTCTTGCTTGGTCCAGGGGTGTCACATGATTTTGAATGCTGTTGTGTTGTCCTGAGCTATGTAGTCTCTGATGCTGATTCTCCAGACTTCCTGGTGAATCTATCTATATTATAATAAATTCATTTTTGGCTTTAGTTTAAAAAAAAAAGCAAAAAAAATGAGGCGCAGACCTTGGATTGCAATGGATCCACCAAGGTAGTGCCACTCCATTAGGTACTGTCTGCATAACCAGCTAATCCTTGTTCCTTTGCCAGGACACTGCAGTTGCATGCCCATGTGCTTGTAGTCAAAGCAGGTTAAGATTAGGATACTAACTGTAAGGACTAACTAGGGCTGCTTGTCACAGCATTTCCAACTTGGTCCTTTTTTCTTCTAGATTTGGTATTTTTTAGGATTGATGGAAGAGAAGGAAAACATGCCTTCAGCCTTTGGTTATCATTTACCCTGGTCATTTAGTAATTTGCGGATTGTTGAGATTTTTGCTAAATTGGATTCAGCTTTACTCTTATTTATATATCACCCATTTTCTTTGCCTAAGAGAAATTTTCCTAAGTGCTTCTGGGGAAGATTTAACCCTGCCTGAAGAAATTCTTGAAAAATACAACTTACTTTTAAATAGCTTGAATAAGAACTTTAAGCCATGACTTTAAATGTTGCATCAGTAGTACCTAATCATTTTAGCTGCTTGTTTCCATAAGTACCTTTCTAGTACTGCACATTGATAGACGGTTTTAACTGGTTTTAGTTTTACCTCATTTCTCTATTTTATCCATCTGCTGTTATGAACACTAGGAAATAGAGAAATGGTTAAAAGGAGAGAAGAGAAACAGAAAGTGGGTGATTCGACGTGCACATTTGAATTCAATGTGAGAATGAGGAGGGTTGATGGGAGTTGTTGGAAATGTTATAGCTCTGTCACAATCTCCACCAGGATTTTGACAAAGTGGGTAATCTTAACCACGTGAGAGACTTTCAGCATTCCTTGCATATCAAATTTAATGCATGAAATAAAGCTGTAGCACTTGGCATTTTCATTGGGACCCTTATACTAACATTATCAATGTTGTCATTGGGACCCTTATACTAACATTATCAATGTTGTGTACGTTGCCTTTATTATCAGGTCACAAAAGATGTCATCAAAGAATTTGCAGATGATGGTGTCAAGTACTTGGAACTAAGGAGCACACCCAGAAGAGAAAATGCTACAGGTAGAATTTAATTACTTCTCAGCAAATGTACAATCTCTTTTCCCATGTGCTTTGATCATTCATGTGTTTACAAGTTGAGAATATGAAGCACTTACTTTTACATTGTTGGAGAAGTAGACTCAGTCAAAATCTTCTGATGTACATTAATGATGCACATTGTTAATGAGTGAGTTATTCTTAAGTTAAAAAATCAGGTCAGATATTATCTGTTTAAGGGAAATGAAAAGAGCTGCAAAAATTTCATTTGTTCTTCTTGTTTGTTTTACTCACTCTGAGGAAACGACACTTGCTCCTTAAAGTTGCATTGTCTTAAACAGAGGCTAATTCTTGCTCCTGCATCAAGGGCAGTGAGACTTGTGAGACAATGCCACTGAGTGGATGCAGAATCATATTTTATGACAGTCCCTGAAATGAAAGTTATTCAGTCACTTCTCAGGGACTCATAGTATCTTAGGCCAGGAGCAAGCTGTGATATGGTGAAAATTCTCCGGATGGAGATGAGTGGATCTAGATGTGGTCTGGAGAAATTTCCTGGGACCCTCTTTCTATAAGAACAGCATCAGGAGATATTATGTAGTGTCATTGGGTCCCTCTTAGCACCTTGTCTGTGTCCTGAAGAGGCCCTACCAGGTCATCTTGGACCCTGCCATGTGTAGCCCAGTCATCATTCAGGGGGTAAAATTTTTGAAACTACGTATAGTAAAATAAGTGTTGAAATGGGAGAAGCAGATGATTCTTATCTCACATTTTTAAACTGCAGAATCACTTCCAAGTTATGCTGGTGAGGGTAGTGAAAGAGAAGAAGAGAAGAAACCAGCCAATTATTAGAGCTAGTTTGCTCTTTGAATGGAAGATTCAAAGGGGGATGTTAACCTTGCTATGCAACGGTAGGGGAATGGTTAAATGAAGGTTAATGGAATATTAGGTAACCAATAAAAATGTTTGCAAAGACACTTTATTGACATGGGAATGTGCTCAGAATACAGTGTTAAATGACTGAACAGGATACACATATACCTAATAGCATCTCATCTATTCAAAAATATATATTTGTATACTTAGAAAAACAAAAGATAGTGGTTACCCCTGAGTAGTAGGATTACGGGTTATTTTTATTTTTCTTCTTTGTGATTTTCTGTGTTTTACTAGAGACTTTCCACCAAAAGTAAGCATTTTAGAATTGGGGTACAAGAGTATTTTAGAGGAGATTGTTCTGGAGAGTGCTCTTTCAGAGCCCCCCAGAAGAGGAGGACTTGAGCACCCGAACTTGGAAGAGCATCTCTAGTGCCTTGGATGAGAAACACTGAGCCTGAGCAGAACTGAGGAGAAAGGATCCCAAGAGGATATTTTTCCTGGACTAGCAGGAAAACCTTCTGCTAATAGAGAAAAATGTTCTGTTTTTAAGGACAGGCCTTAGAAAAGGGCTTGCTGCTGTTCTTGTTTTGTTGGGGCAAATATTTAAAATTTTTGTAGCAATTTGTGAGAGTAGTTTTATGTCTGTTGAATCTAAGAGTAATTTTTTTTTTTTTTTTTGGTGAGTAACATCAGCCCTGAGCTAATCTCCATGCTAATCCTCCTCTTTTTGCTGAGGAAGACCAGCTCTGAGCTAACATCCACTGCCAAGCCTCCTTTTTTTCCCCAAAGCACCAGTAGATAGTTGTATGTTATGGCTGCACATCCTTCCAGTTGCTGTATGTGGGATGTGGCCTCAGCATGGCCAGAGAAGCAGTGCATCAGTGTGCCCCTGGGATCCGAACCCGGGCCGCCAGTAGCGGAGCACGTGCACCTAAGCACTAAGCCACGGGCCTGGCCCTCTAAGAGTAGTTTTTAAACGGGCTTGTATTTTGTATGTCATTTTTTTTTTTTTTTCAATTTTATTACAATTAGCATTTACTAAAATGTACCCGTAAGGCTGTATTTTAACTCATCTTTAACCATGCCCTTGTCACAACATACAGTGAAAATGTAATTATTCATATAGGGATGCTAATGTTGAAGGACGAAATAGTTGATGATCTCTTTACATATGTTTTCTTTGTGTCCTTTCCAGGAATGACTAAAAAGACTTATGTGGAATCTATACTTGAGGGTATAAAACAGTCCAAACAAGAAAACTTAGATATTGACGTTAGGTAAGAAGCATTGTACCTTGGTAGTCACCATTTGAAAACTAGTATGTGAAAATTTTCCTATTTTGATCAGGAGTGTAATGGATTTTTATAAATCAACCAATAACTGATTTTTGTCTTACAATAGAAAAAACAGGGTCAAAAACTGTGTAGTTTAAAGTTGAGAATGCAATCCTGAATTTATTCACAAGGCAATGAAGTTCTGAGTACTATTGCTCTAGTGAAGTATGGCTTCCCATTGCTCTTGAGCTAAAACCTAAACTTGTTACTGTGGCCTACAAAGTCCCACTTGATCTACCTGCCTCTCTTACTTCAACATCCTCATCTGGACCACTCGTCACTTATTATGCACTGGCCTGCTATCTGTTGTTCCTCAAATAGGCCAAGACTATGCCACCTCAGCACCTTTCCTGTTACTTTTGCCTAGAACACACTTCCACCATATCCTTGCGTGGCAGGCTTCTCATTATTCAGGTCTCAATTTGGCTGTCACTTCCTTGATCACCTTATCTAAAGTGCCCCTCACAAATGCTCTAGTCACCCCATTTATTTCCTTTATGGCACTCTTCTTAACGAGATCAGAAATTATCCTTTTTTATTTGTGTATACATACTCACCCACTAAAGTGTAAATTCAGGGAGGCCGGGGACCTTGTCTTTTGATTCACCACTACACCTCCAGTACTTAGAACAGAGCTGGTGAATAGTCAGGGCTCAGTATTTCATGGAGAAAGAAAGGAAGAAAGCTAGTTGTGTAGTTTCTGACTATAAAATCTCTCAAAATTAAGCTTTACTAGACTAATACCCCAATAAAAAAACAGGCAAAAGACAAGAAGAGAATTCAGAACGCATACAAATGGCCAATAAATGTATAGAAAACTATTTAACCTCACTAATCAGATAAATTTAAAAGGAATTATTACAATGCCATTTCAATAGCCCCCCCCAAAAAAGGTAGTAACCAGCATTTGTGAACTTACACACTGCTGGTGAGCATATGTAATTAATAAAACCTCTCTAAAGAGTAATATGTATTAGGATCTATAAAAATAGTTTTCCCCTCTGACCCAGTAATTCTCTTCTAGAAATGTATCCTAAGGAAGTAGATTGATTTATGTGTAAGATTCTTCGTTGTAGCATTATAACAAAAAGTAGAAAACATCCTAAAATGTCCAGCAATCAGAGGACGATTACATTATGTTCATATGATTTATATTGTTTTCTAACATTACTTAATGGCAAGGGAAATTAAGTGAAAAAAAAGACATTGCATTTTATAAATAATTGATCCAAATTTTGTAAATAAATGCTGGAAGAATTTCTGTATTTTGTGAATAAATAGATAAACTAATAAATGCAGGGTAAAATTACACAATAGAAGTTCTCTGGGTATTAAGTTCCTTGTAGAATTCCAGCTAATATATGAAGAATGAATTTGTATCAGCTATTCGATACATGTTAGAATTAGAATATTACCAATTTTGTAACTGTTAATGAAATAATGGATCTAAACCTCCTGATGAAAAAACACACCACCACCTATGAAATACTCTTGCCAAAAAATAGAATCTGATCTGATTAAGCCTCTAGGCTAGATCCAATTTATAGGAAATACAAGAGACAGGAGAACGTGTTAGCAATACAGGGATGTAATCAGCAAAATCCAGACTGTGGGAAACTTGATAGGACCTGGTTTTTTCAACAAATAAATTCAAGAAAAGAGGCAGGGGGTAGGGGTGGGGGTGAAGGGATTGGCTTTAGATTAAAATAGGCTGGAGAGGCATTGACCAACACAATGTGTGGACCTTAGTTGGATTCTGAATCAAACAAACTGTAAAGAACAAATAAAGGAACAAAAAAACAGAAGACAATCAGAAATATGAACACTAGCTAGATATCTGGTGGTAATTAGGAATTTATGTCTCATTTCCTCTGGCAAAGAAAAATGTCATGTCAGTCAGGCTCTACTTTTCCTAGTAAGATGTAGTACGTGTAGCCTGCCATACCTCTCTGGCCATACTCAGAGTTGTCTTTTTCATCTGCAATGTATTTGTTTTCAACTGTGTTTTTCTTATATTAAAGGTATTTGATAGCAATTGACAGAAGAGGTGGCCCTTCAGTAGCCAAGGAGACTGTTAAACTTGCTGAAGAGTTCTTCCTTTCTACTGAGGATATAGTTCTTGGCCTTGATCTCAGTGGAGACCCTACTGTAAGATATTTTTCCTAAATATATTTTATTTCTAAAAGGTAAAACCAGTTTGTGAGGTAAGGATTAGCTTGGAGCATCCAGCATTCTCCAGAGGTCCTGCAGACTCTCCATGTGGATGGATGAAGCCCTATTCTGCCCTGGATGACCAGAATGTCTACAGCAGCTGTTCTCAACCAGGGTTCTGTGAAAAAATTAAGCCCCCTAAATAAGAAGGAAAAAAAAAAAGATTTGCATGACAGTATGATTTTCTCCATTTTTCTAAAGATGGTACACAGCTAGAGAGAAGTTAATTCATTATGTACAATGCATGTCTAATGCTTAATTATGGCTAGGGCTTAATTATCTCATAGAACTCCCAGTTGAGAGAGGCTGGCCTAGAGCTTCTTGAACGTCAGATTCAGGGCAGGTGTCTCAACTGTGGCACTATTGATACTGTGGGCCAAAGAATTCTTTGTTGTGGGAGGATGTATTGTAGGATGTTTAGCAGCATCCTTGGCCTCTACCCACGAGATACCGATAGCACCCTCCTAGTTGTGACAACAAAAAATGTTTCTAGACATTGCCAAATGTCCCCTGCGGGGCGGAACTGGTTGAAAACCATTGAGTTAGAGAGTCCCTTGAAACTGGTTCTTAGGGCTTTATCTAAACCTGGGTTATTCTGCTCATGTTTCATCCCTCCATTTGATAGACACTTTCTTTATTAATCTTGTGGGTTCCTGAATCAGGTGAGTTCTCTTCCTTAGCGCTAGATATCTAGATACCCTTCCAGAAATAAAATTGGGTGACTGCGATACCTAGGTTAGCTGATTGACCTCAGATTCACTCATACTTAACTTAAGATTCTTGAGGACAGGGACTATGTCTTTGCCAGCTTTGTATTCCCTTATGTGTCTAGCACACTGCAGGTGCTTTATAAACAAAATGTGCAAATGAGTCAATCTGCTATTTTTTCATTCCTTTGTTTATTGAGACAGAGTACCCAATTCTTCAGTTTGCCCAGAATTCTCGTGCATCCTCATTTTAACTTTTATCTTCAAGGCAGGACAAGCAAAAGACTTCTTGGAACCTCTTTTAGAAGCTAAAAAAGCAGGTCTGAAGTTGACATTGCATCTTTCAGAGGTAAATAATAATGTAAAATTATGCTGAAGAGGGTAGATTACCATGGAAAATAATAATCATTTGTAAATGGATAAAAATAAACCTGGCTTGGATAACCATTTTTAGAGGGGGAAAGTAGAAAAATTTTTAATTGTAAATTATAATGATAAAGGCATGACTTGCTTTAGTCTCTCGTGTTACTGTTTTTATGGTTCCTGGAGATGGCTGTTGACTTGCAGTACAGCTGTGTCATTAAAACAGCTTAACGACATCTTGCTAGAGAAAATGAATGAATTTCCATCATCAGCCTTGTCGTTGGCAAGCTGACACTGAGAAAAGCACCAGTGCATCTCACTTGTCTTCGTGAGGGAAGGGACCTCAATGTATCACGTGCACTGGCGGGAAAGGAAGTAGTTCGCCATCATTTGATAAGGCTCAGAAGGAGGTCACGTGCCCCTCGTCAGGCCCCAGTTCCTTGGCAGCATAAGCATAGTGACAGATAATGTACAGATAATGGCTGGAGAGCAGTCACTTTCTTGAGCATGTCCCTGTGAGGCAAACAAGGACTCTACTGCACTTCTCCTCATTTTACAGTTGGATTTACTTTCTACCTCAGTACTTCTACCTATTTAATTGTTTCTTTTCTTTTTTTGACGTACAAAATGCTATATATAATTAATGAATACAACTTGATGAGTTTGGATTTAATTGTTTCTTGAATGCAGGAAATAATACTTTAGTCTACTTATCTCAGAGTTATTGTGAGTATTAGATGGGATAATGTATAAAGGTTGAGTAGCCTCATGATTTAAAGATTAAGGAAAAGATCGGATCTTGTAGTCAATACTGGTGTTTTTCATGTCTATAAGCAGAGAGTCAGTAATCTAGTAGCAGAACTTAAAATCTAGGATCCATGTTTCCACACTCTGATCAAAAAGATCTTTCAGGGGCTGGCCCCGTGGCTTAGCGGTTAAGTGCACGCGCTCCGCTACTGGCGGCCCGGGTTCAGATCCTGGGCGCGCACTGATGCACTGCTTGTCCGGCCATGCTGGGGCGGCGTCCCACATGCAGCAACTGGAAGGATGTGCAACTATGACATACAACTATATACTGGGGCTTTGGGGAGAAAAAGGGAAAAAAAAAAAAAGGAGGAGGATTGGCAATAGTTTTTAGCTCAGGGCCGGTCTTCCTCAGCAAAAAGAGGAGGATTGGCATGGATGTTAGCTCAGGGCTGATCATCCTCACCAAAAAAACAAAAAGATCTTTCACTCATCGGACACCCTCTAGCTGACCTAATTGATGTCTGATTGAAGCCATTGGGCAATGTAATGGAAGAGCCAGCATGTGTTATTGTGACCAGTTACCTCTAGTCTTTGGCAAAGCATCAGAACCTGCTCTTTACCTTAGTTTCTGTTGCTTTTCTTGTTTGATCTGTTGGATATAAAACATCTCACTTCAACATGTTGCGGTCATTTGTCTTTTAGGCTATATCTAGGAGATAAAGAGCACAGCAAGATATTTTCATGGTGGTTGTGGTATGTATGTAGCTAGCCTTGTTAAAATAAAACATGAGCACATTGGGTGTGGAAAGTCTGGGCCCTGGTGTCAGACAGAGCCAGGTTTCACCCTTATCTCTATCATTCATTAGGTCTGTGACCTTGGACAACTTTTTAAAAAAATGCTTTAGGGGCCGGCACAGTGGTTAAGTGCACGCGCTCCACTTCAGCGGCCCGAGGATTCGCAGGTTTGGATCCTGGGCACACACCGACGCACCACTTGTCAAGCCATGATGTGGTGGCATCCCATATAAAGTAGAGGAAGATGGGGATGGATGTTAGCCCAGGGCCAGTCTTCCTCAGAAAAAAGAGGAGGATTGGCATCGGATGTTAGCTCAGGGCTGATCTTCCTCACCAAAAAAAAAATGCTTTATATTTTTAACTACAGAAGTTATATATATATATCTGAAGAAAATCCAAGTGTAGAGAAGTGTAGCATAGAAGGAAAAAAAAAACAAAATGAAAGATCCTTTTCCCATTTCAGTCCTGCTCCCAAGTTGATCCTGTTAACAGTTTTGTATTTATATTTTTCCAGACTGTTTTCTAATATATATGAACACATACACACAACACAGAACACACATGTACATATAGCGTTGTGGGATTTTGTTTTTGAAAATTACTTTTTCTGAGCTTTAATTTCTTCATCTTAATACTTTGTAAGATTCTTGTGAGGTTTATGAGGTTTAAAGGAGAATTTATGTGAAAAGGCACAAAATAGGTCCTTAATAAGTGTTTATTATTATTATTATTGACTTTATAATTGTTATTATCATTGAAATGAATCAAGAAAAATATTGGGAAATGAATGGGAAGATAAAAGGCGAAGAAGAGAGCTAGGAAGGTATAAGTAGTTCAGCTTTCCAGAATGTCTGCATTACCTTCTCAGAGGGACAAAGAACCTGGCTATAGAAAAAAGTACTTTTAAGAACCACTGAAAGAGATTATTGATGCCCTCTCTCCCCTTTTTTTGAGATTCCAAACGAAAAACAAGAAACACAAGTACTCCTGGATCTGCTTCCTGACAGAATCGGGCATGGGACATTTCTCAACTCCTCTGAGGGAGGATCCCTGGATCTGGTGGACTTTGTGAGGCAACACCAGATACCACTGGGTAAGGCTTAGGGCTTCAGGTCCTCCAGACAACCTTCTGTCCCTTCCTCCCCCAGGTTGCAACCTATATGTAGAGAAGATCTGTTTTAAATATATAAATATCATTTAGAAATTAAAAGATAACATGGTGTGTGTGCTTTCTGAGGCTCATTTAAGTAATGGAAAGTTTTACCTCCCATTAGAATGTAAGGTCCTTGAGAGGAGGGCCCTTGTTTGTCTGGTTCAATGCTATATTCCCCAGTTCCTGGGACTCAGTAAGTATTACATTGAAGGAATAAGGGTCATCTAGTATTTTGAAATGACTTTAACCGAATTAATGTTATGAAAATGTGTAAAATTTATTTAAAAATTAAGAATTATGGAAGATTCCAAGTATATTTTTGTATGTCTGTTGACCATTGCACATTTGTCTACATGTGTATACCTGGAACTGTTTTTATTTAACAATAAATATGAAGGCCTACTCTGTTCCAGTCACTGTTCAAATTTCTGGGAATAAAGCAGTAAACAAAACACAGAGTTTCTTTCTCAAGGAACTTATATTCTAGTATAGGTAAGAGAGAAAGTAAACAAATACACGAGAAAATATCAGTGTTAAGTTCTTTGAAGAAGATTAAACAGGCTGGTATAATAGTGATATGACCACTTTTGAGTGGATGGTCGAGGATGGCCTTTCTGAAGAGGGAAAGAAGCAATAGGCTGAAAACTACTTTACCAAATGATCAATTCACGGAATTTACAAAATTATCAATTTGCAAAAACAGTTGTATGGGGGTGTGTGTTTTTAACTATGTATAGAGTTTTCAGCAATTCATAATGGGTGAGTTTTTTTCTTTTTATGAAAGAAATTTTTAAACATCCACAAAAGTAGAGAAAATGGAAACCACTTGCATAGTGATCTTGCTTGGTGTGATGGCCCAGCTCTGCTCCCAGCAGAGTGAGGGGCCAGGTTGGGTTTGCCATCTCTTGGACTGAATGGCCCTGTGTTGAGGCTGCCTTACCCAAATGAGCAGACACCATCAGTCAAGACAGGGAAGTATTTTACTCTGGCTGGCAAGCCCAGTACAGTGTTTCAAGGCAGGAATTTGTTAATAATAGAAGTCATTCTTAAGATGGATTTACTCACAGCAGGCAGTGAATGGATAGTTGTCTGAGTAAAGGAGTTTAGGGGTTTTCTTTGAAGGCTTGGAAAAAGTCCATTTCTGCTCTTGGCTATTTATAATGCTATAACCCTCAAGCAATGCTACTGTTTTCTTACGTATTTTAGCCTCCACTGTAAGACCAGGAAGAAGTACAACAACCATTCAGAAATGCCTTCTGCTCCCCTATCACAGTTCTTCCCTGCCTTCCTCTTGGTGACTGGCTTATACCACTCCTTTGTCCTCTCCATTTTGGTAAAAGAAAGGGGGAAGCACATGGCCGTGAAGGGGATATTAATCCCTGCCTGGTACAGTTGCTGCCATGAGTTGCAGCACATATTTCCTGCACAACTACACTAATTTAACTACAAATTTTCACACATAAGGTCAATTTTATAAAATAATAAACTACTGAAAAATTAGGATAGTTTGGAAAGATTTCTCATATACCTACTTGGTGAACACTGAATGAGTCTACTAATCTGCTTTTAATAAGAGGCTTTTCCTTCCTTTCATCTAGAACTCTGTTTGACCTCAAACATCAAAAGTCAGACAGTTCCATCTTACGACCAGCATCATTTCGGATTCTGGAACAGCATTGCCCATCCTTCTGTGATCTGTGTAAGGTGTTTTGTGTGAAGTATTTTGCTCTTTTTTAGTGCCTGAGTTGCATTAGGTCAGACATTTACTACCTAGCTGACTGCCTTGCATGCCTGAGGGTAATGCCCAAGTAGGGGACTGAGAGGGGATTGAGGCGTGAGAGGCTGCAAAGGGCCAGGGCAACTCTGGTTTGGCTTTACCGGGAAAGGTCCTAGATGGTACCCGGGGAATGTAAAAAAATACTGATGTCTGGCACCCATTCGTTGAGATTCTGCTTTATTTGATCTGGGGTGAGTCCTGGGCACAGATATGTTTTAAAAGCTCCCTAGGTGATTTTAATATGCAGCCATGATTGCTAGCCACTGCTCTGGTGTTTTGTTTTGTTTTTAAAAAGGATAAACAAGGCTGTTTAGTTATAGATATGCATGGGTGCATTTATAGGCTCTAAAGAAGCAAGGTAAATAGGAAAATAGACTCTAAACAAAAGTTGTTTTTTAAAAAATCATTTCCTTGTTCATTTTGAAACTTTCTTGCTTATATTGGCAGACCGACGATAAGGGTGTTTTTGCAACACACCTTTCTCAGGAGTACCAGCTGGCAGCTGAAACATTTAATTTGACCCAGTCTCAGATGTGGGATCTATCTTATGAATCCATCAACTACATATTTGCTTCTGACAGCACCAGGTCTGAACTGAGGAGGAAGTGGAACCATCTGAAGCCCAAAGTGTTACATTTTTAAGCTGTAATGAGGTGAACTACTTTTGAATATGTGTAGTTCCCCCTCTCCATTAGTGATCATAAAATTTCAGGAAAATCAAAGTAGTTTCTCATCAGGAAAAGTTTTGGAATTACTAGTCTAAATAAGGTGAGAGAGGGGGAAACAGATTGTCTTCTAGCTTCTGATAACAGCTCTGTATTTTGTTGTGCTTTCTTTAATCAGGCTCCCTTCACTTAAGTATTCCCCAAAACTGTTGACTCCAGGCTGCATTGCATACCATGGATCTTTTTGAATACCCAGTAGTCAGAGTTTATCTATTTTGGGTGACCCTACTGACAGATAAAGCTAGCTGCTGAGATCTGGCTTTGCCCTTCTCATGATTAATCTCCCTGGAATCAATGTGGTTTTTTTGTTGTTGGTTTGCTTTTTTAAATGTTCCTACCTTACCTTTCTCTTCTCTTAACTTTGACCACTTCAGAGCTATGCCGGCCAGACGCTTCTTGAGCTCAAGGGTACTTCAGGCTTCTATTTCCAACCTTTATTCTGACTTCCAGTTGTTCCCAAGTTTTGTTTCTGAAAGAGCCCCATGGTGGGTATAAGAGGAGTTTAAGCTCCTAACTAAAATATCTCCATATAATAACGTCTGTTACTTTAAGCACCATCATGTCAGAGAATACTCAATAACGTTTTATATGTCAAAACTTTGAGACATATATCTCACTAGATAGCTGTTTGAGTGTATAAGAGTAAAGTTCTCATTTTAAATTTTGAATTGAATAATAGAGAATTGACCTATCCTTATGTTCATATCTCATCTTCTCTTTCCTACCTGGTCACCATAAAAATAGTTTTCTACAGAGTTGCCAAGACTCAGCCTCTACACCCAGATTACAGTAAAAGAGAAATGGCAGCAACACAGAGAATACATAGAAATGTTATTAAGTTCTACGGCATTGGCAGCCATAGAGAACAAGCAATAAAAAGAAGAATGACAGCATGGGGAAAATAAAGAAAAAGAAACGACAGCACTAGAGAAACAAGTAATGAGAATAGATACAACTGTTCAGCTCCTGCTAATACAGTCTTGCTTCCTTTGCTGCACATGCCATCCAATCTGTCCCTACAGAGTTCTTACGGGTATTAAAAGGGTAGGGGTGCATAGATCCTCTTGCTCCCTCAACAAGTTGGTTTCTCTTTCTTAGAATGATTGGTAACTATTTATTATTTTTTGCTTCCTCCATCCTCAGGAATGACAGATTGGGTAGCAGATAATGGTTTGTGAGCTAGATTGAAATGAACGGGGTTTTCCCTGCTAAAAGAGTTTGCCTTTGTTTTATTCTTTTTGCACAATCTCTTAATCTGGAGGTTGGAGGGCTGGTCCTTGGTCTTTTAAAATAAGACTCACTCTCCACGGATACGGATACAGATACCAAGAGGGATTTTCATTCTAATTTCTCTTTTACCACATTCTAATTTGTTTCTCAGCCTAGAACATAAAGATTCAGACAGGCATCCTTGTAATAACCCCACACAGTGAGTCAAAAAAAGCAGGTAAAGATTTATCTTTTCCTGCCAGTAACAACTTAACCATAATTTGCATATATATTAAAAAAAACACCTGAAGAAACACTGAGCACTTTATAGACATAATTTTTATTAACATGGTATCCCTGAGAGGCAGATTAAACATTATTCTGCTTTACAGAAGGGGAAACAGAGGCAGGTTGACTTACACACAAGACGTCTGGAACCAGAATTCATATCTGTTGATACCTCAACCAGTGCTTTTTCCACACAGATATACTAAAGACAGTAATCTCATTTTTTAAAAACATTATAGCACACTTCCTAAACCATCCCAGATCCTGTGGCATTGCTTTAGACTAGTATTATATCTTCCTGTCTGCTTAGGCAACATAATTGAGATACCATCTCCCCTTAATTCCTAATAAATGTTAGGAGATTCTTTGTACTAGGATCCCTCAACACTAGAACCCTAATTAATCTCTCATCTAACACAGTAAGCTATGAATTATAGAATATTCTATCTCCCCACTCCTCTCCCAGATCTCATTCTAGCCACAAAACTCTAATTAAATGTGACTGTGAAACAGCTCTTTATCCCAGGCCTTGGCCATCTGCTCATGTTCCTTTTCCTCTGACTTGCCCATCGAAGTAGCTTCTCAAGATACTACTGTTTCTGACTTTTGTCTCCCATCAGAGCTAGTCCCCTAAAACTACTCATTCTTCTTCCCCAGTGCCAGCCAGCTGTTTCCTTATCACTAAGTATGGCACAGTACCTGATTATTATAATCTAGAATAAGATGATGGGAGCACCACCTCCTTATCTGCCTCTGGCACTCCATGTTTCAGCTAAAGTAATTCTCTCTCTGCCTCCTGCACAGCCCATATCATACTATTCCTCAAATTTTGTGTTGCTCCAAGCTTTGTCTAACTTTCCTTACAGTCTGTCCTTTGCCCTCTGTTCCATCTGTACAAAACACCTTGCTCCCCAGTTTTCTCATTTCTCACACTAGGCACTCAGTTTTGCCATTAGTTTTGGAAAGTTCCTTCCACCCTAATTTACCCAGTAACCTTCCCTTTGAATACTTCCTGCTTCATGAAGCTGTCCTGAATAAAGAGAAGAAAATACCTCCCAGATTTTTCTTAAAGCAAATTCTAATGCATTAGACCTTAACATTTATGCATAGTGTTACTACCTAGCCTTCTAGACTTTTCTAAAACCGTTGCAGCTATACATGTGCACTTATTATTTGTAAAGACAAGGACAGGATCTGTTTAACTTGTGCTCTACAGGGCTCATCATACTACTATGAACATATGAGCCATTAATTCAATACTATTGGATTGTAAAGATCAGAGTTACACTTCTGTGTGAAGAGCTGCTTTTAAAAATAGATGTATACAGTTGAATATGTGTGTGTGCACGAGTATTGGTAACTCCACTGACCGGACAAAGATGATCTGTCCTCCTTGCCATTAGGGTAAAGAGTTGTTGGCACAAAGTGTTCTGTTTTCCCAATCCATGGGAATGTGGCAGTGGCTTCTGCTCAGTGCAGGTTAGTATTGAGCACCCACGGGATTCATTACACTAGATTAGGTGTTTGGAGTGTGTGGAATATGGACAATTCTCTATTGGCAGCTTTAACTGCTTTCCCTGTCACCACCTCCAGCTGGCTTGCTCTTTGGGCTTCTAGGCCTCAAAGGACAGATGGAATTCAGATGAGATGGAACAGAAAAAAAATCAAACTAGATGCTATAAATGTAATATTACTGTATTTCAAATCTTCTAGGGCTTGGAATAAACTAAGAAATCCAGGGTTCATACCTCAATATTTATAGAAGGTTTACATTGTTTCCCCATATAGAACACCTAGGTTCTTGGCAAGATGATTCATAGGTCAGAACCAAGATGGAAATGAAACTCTCCTTCTTTAAGGTAAATGAAGAGTGTGCATGACAAATATGTCATTCTGAGGACAGGCTTAAGTGAGCAGGAAGACTTTTTTGAAATCTTTTTTGGAAATGGAAATTGTATTTTGCTTATTGTACAAAGAGCTAGACCCACTCAGTGAGAAGAGTCTCACAACCTCTTCCTGAAATGCTGCTATGATGGGTTTTTCCAGTTGAAATGCAGCTGAATAACAGGATGAGTAAAGACAGGTGCATATCAAACTGATACTATGTCCTCTATTAAGGAAACAACATAGGCACTGAGAGGGAATGGTGTTATCTGTCAGTTCAGATGCAGGCAAGGAGAGGGATTGAAATCTTCCTTTCATTCTTAAGATGACTGCCTTGGGAATTTGACTCTAGATCCAGGAGAAAGAGGGAAAAACAGTGGGGTAAATCCTAGAGTATTTCCTAAGTTAGTTGGGCACAGAATAGGAGATGGATCTCACTATTGGAATACTTTTTCAGACAATTTTAGTACACTTATTGAGGCTCTTTTCTTTATACATCCTCAGGAGCTTACTCAGGTGCTGACTGTGACAGAAGTTTTTCACGTGTATGGATTTCTCGGTGCTTATTAAGAGCAGAGCTTTTACTGAAGCACTTGCCACAGTCATGACACCCATAGGGTTTCTCTCCTGTGTGGGTTCTGTGATGTGCACGTAAGTCAGAACTCTTACTGAAACTCTTTCCACAGTCAGGACACACATGGGGTCTCTCTCCTGTGTGTATCCTCCGATGTGCACTAAAATGGGAACTGTTATTGAAGCTTTTTCCACACTCTTCACATTGATAGGGCTTTTCTCCTGTGTGGGTTCTCTGGTGAATAATAAGGCTTGAGCTCTGATTGAAGCGTTTTCCACACTCACCACATTGATACGGTTTCTCTCCTGTGTGGATTCTCCTATGGGTGATGAAATTTGAACTGTCACGGAAACTTTTCCCACAGTCAAGACACTTATAAGGTTTCTCTCCAGTGTGGATTCTCCGGTGTCTAATGAGGCGTGCACTCCGACTGAAGCTTTTCCCACAATCAGCACATTTATATGGATTTTCCACCTGATGGGATATCTGATGTATGAGGTGGGAGTTTGGACCAAAGCTTTTGCCATATCTGAGATACTTATGGGGTCTCTCTCCCAAGTAAGGTCTCTGATGACTTAGAACTTTACCTAAATTCCTTTCTGGGAGTGTCGGTTTTCCTCTTCTCTCCTCTGGGGTCTTTTCCCACTGTCTTCCTGATCTACATTCACTCTCACTGCCTTTACCCTGATTAAGATGCCAGGGAATTTTCCTTTCAGACCTTGCAAGTAATGTCCTATGTAGTTGCACTTCCTCAGAAATATCCTGTTTTAGATTCTCTTCATTCTCAAATCCAGCCTCAAAACCTGATGTAAGAACAGAATTTTAAAAATTACCCATTTCCTCAATTATTATGTGCCAGAGTAAAGCAAGTATCACATTAGATGATTAAAGATAAAAATTAGGGAGTTCTAAATCCCAAATAACTACCATCTACTAAAATTCCAATGTTTTACTTCTCTACTTGGTAACCTATCACAGCCTTCTTATCTACATAGGGGCTGATTAATATATTCTAACTCTTCCCAGATACCCAGGATCTTCAGAAAATCCGCTGAGTATAACAAGAAAAACCTACCAGATTTAAGATAAAACCATCAACATGTTTATACAGAAAGGACACTTTCTAATGCTGGATTTTTGCCTCATCTCAGGCCTAATGTGGTATTCTAGTTTATATTCTTTGCCAGTAACTAAGGAGATTAGAAGGGAATGCCCAGGAAAACTCTGGGAAAATTCTATATCCAAAAATAGCTACATGAGTCCCCTTCCCCTCAAATTCAAATATATGTTGAGAATTTAAAAAAAGATAGAATAATACTTGGTGTCCTTCAAAGAACAAAAGGCCTTCTGAGAGATACAAGTTGCTAGGAAGTGTATCTGTAAAACATTCTCTTTGCCCATGGAAAAATAATCACTAAATGTTCCAAAAGCACTACTCTAATGCCAAAGCTAAGCTTTTAATATTCTTCTAAGAACCAATGCCAGGCTCCCTGGGCCTAGGCTATGAGAATTTGCAGGTACATGGAAAATTTTCAGTTTGCAAATTCACTATGTATTTGCAGAATTTTCAAATGTTTCAGATAAACTCTGGGTCCCAAATTTCCTGGACTAAATCTGAGAGCAAAAGAATGCTGCATGTCAGCCTGTGTATGTACCCCCTAAAGCAGTATTTCTGCCCAGAAACCCAGTCTTATGAGATGCCCCATGAAATAGAGGTTCATTAGATTGAATGAAATATTAGAACCTTAAATATGTGACTGTGTATTGTGAGCCTCCAAGAGGGGTATTTAGCATTTCCTAAACCTAGAAGCCATTTTTTAGTGGAACATATTAATATCCCCATGGAACTGATGCTCCATGGAACACCCTTGAAGAATGCTAATCTAAAGAACTTTTGGAAAAGAAAACTGTTATTTATTGAATACTTACTATGTGCCCAAGCACTGTGCTAGGTGCTTCACCACAGTACCTCGTTTACATCGACTGTATTGGGATATATAAGCAAATTCACAGGGTTAAGTAACTTGCTCTAAGTTACTCAGCTAGTAAACAACAGAGTCCAGATTCACATACATATACATGTATGACTCCAAAATCAGAATTCTTCCCACAAGGAGGGAAGCCATAGTGAAGTATTTTTTTCTTATACAGTAGCTAAGATTCAGAGGGTTAGTTCCCTCAGAAATCTCAGACTTTTTGCATTAAGTGTGTCTGAAGAAAGAGGTTATCAGGTTTTCATATATGTGAATAAAGCAGATATACAGCTAGTATACAAGCTGAAACTAGAAGAAAAACAGAAATGAGAATGAACTTTTAAAATCAACTTCATCGTACCATAGGTACATAACATGCTACTTAGGAAATGTTAGCTTTCAGATTCTCTGCTAGGTAAACTGCCTAGAAACCTAGCAGCTCACATGTAGATGATAGTAAATTTACAAAGTTTGCAACCATCTCAGATTGATGCTGTAGTGTGAGGAGGCAAGTCAAGTGAATAATTTATATCCCCTCACTGAGCTTCTTTAATAGACAGGAAACATGGAGGAGATGAGGTGGTCACAAGAATTCATGAGAGCTGGGTACAGAGGCCAGTCCTCCTGGTCTTCAATCGGATGATTTCTCTCCTAAATCCCACTGCCTCCCCTTTGCTATTTAGACCTTGAGAAGTAAAAGGATCTTACCACTGGGGCTCTGGAATAAGACTGGAGCACGTGTCATGACAGCCCCTGGCGGTAACTCAGTATCCTCTTCATCATCCTCAGAATCATCTTCTATGGCCTCTTCTGCCTCCTCAGCTTGCTTCCCAGCTTCAGCCTCACGGGTCTCCTGGAGAGGGCAAGAGGCTGTCTCCTCTTCCCGGCCGTCACTTGGCGGGGCAGCAACCCGGGCACTCACCAAAGCATCCATCTCTTCAAAGAAAGGACAGGTCTCTGGTGCTTGGCCATTCTTGACTTTCCGATAGCTGGTTTGTAGGCTTTTAAACTTGGTCCGACACTGCTCCGCTGTCCTAAGGAAGCCATGTTCCCATAACCGCTCAGCCACTGCTCCATACAACTGGCTGTTGCGGTGACAGTTCCGGAGGGCTTCGTAAAACTGAGTCTCACTAAGAATTGCAAGGTAAGTCTTCGTCTCTTCATAGCCCCAGTGTACACCTGCCACCAGAAGAGAAATTTCAGCATCACTTAATCCAGGGCTTTAGAGCCTCAATTCCTCAGTCCTATAATCTGCATCATGAAAAATCACCTAAGCTTGTGCTCCTAGATGAAAAAGTAAAAATATTTCATGTTTCCAAAATCACTACGAACTTATTAGAGAATTTTGCTTCTCTATATCTTATAGGAATTTCACAGAGACCTTTATTTCTGCATTCTGTTTAGCCATATAAAAAAGAGCCCTTTTCACCTGATCACTGAAACAGTCACTGTGTACACTGAGGCAAGTGTACAGAATGCATTTCCCCATTCTTCTAGTAGTTTTTCTGGAATTCTAACTAGAAAATAACTGGTCAGGGGAAGAAGACCCACAATCACTCACTGTTAGCAAGGAGTCATCCCTAACCTCTCTGATCATTCTTTTTCCACCAGCCCTACTTCGTTATGAACTAAATTTCCCAAAGTATGACTCAAAACCCTAAGGAACAGGGCCGGCCCTGTGGCTTGGTGGTTAAGTGCGCGCGCTGCAATGCTGGCGGCCCGGGTTCGGATCCCGGGTGCGCATCGAGGCACCACTTCTCCGTCCATCCTGAGGCCGAGTCCCACATGCCGCAACTAGAAGGACGTGCAGCTATGACATACAACTATCTGCTGGGGCTTTGGGGGGAAAAAATAAAATAAATAAAATCTTAAAAAAAAAACCAAAAAAAAACAAAAAAACCCTAAGGAACAGTCTCTTTCAGAATCACACTGCTGCCTAATCCCTATTATGGCCCTTCTTCACTTGCCATGTTTCAAAAAAGCAAGCCCAACAATAGCAAAGACCTGAGGGGTACCAGATAAGGACCTGATAGTCATGCACCTTATCCTTAGGAATGAAGGACCAGCAGAAGCCAGAAAGGAAGGAAGCAGAGTAGACAGCATCTCCTGGCCTGAACATGTGCTAGTGCTGGAGGCCCCCTGACTTGGGTACTTCAGGATGATTACAGAATGCTCCCAGAAGGTACCCAAAGTAGAGGGAGGGGAGATTCAGAGTCTTCCTCCCACTTGAGAGCCAGCTGGAGATTACACTGCTTCCATTATCCTCCACTCACTGCAAGTAAAGGAGAAGGGAGGAATCGAAGACAGAGAAAAAGCAGTGGAAAAAAATGAACAAAGATAATGAAAATAATGGCAGCTACCACATGTGCCATGTTTGTGATTTACCTACATTTATTCCAGTGACAAAAAAGGAAAAAGAATGAAGAAAAAAAGAAAGGAAAAAATAGAAGATAGAAGACTAGAATAGAACTAAAGCAACATCATACATATAATAAAAAATGAAAGGAAAAGATCACTGTTCACAGTGGAACTGCAACTTCAGAGATGTAGTCCTGCTGCCATGCCCTATTTTACAGTTGAGGAAACAAACTTTGAAATCGTCAGATAACTGTCCAAGGTCACCCAGCTGATTAGTGGTCAGGATTAGAAACAAAGCCTCCTGACTCATACTTGAGTGCTCTTTCCAGAACTACGTGGTTGTACAAATTATATCAACAGTAATAAATGACATGCTTCCTCAGGCACATCTTATTTTCAACATAGAGTGTTAAAGTTTCTTGCTGCAGGACTTCTCAGTCCTGTTAAAATGCTAATGTGCACTGTGAATCTCACAGAGGAGACTTATAAAATGTTTCCCCAACTTTGGGCAATTCTTCACGATGCTATTCATTTTTTTTTTTTTTCCCTTTTTTCTCCCCAGAGCCCCAGTAGATAGTTGTATGTCATAGCTGCACATCCCTCTAGTTGCAGTATGTGGGACGCCACCTCAGCATGGCCCAACAAGCGGTGCATCGGTGCACGCCCAGGATCCGAACCAGGGCCGCCAGTAGCGGAGCACGCGCACTTAACTGCTAAGCCATGGGGCCGACCCCCGCTATGCTATTCTAAGTAGAAAGAAACAGGGGCCGGCCCTGTGGCTTGGTGGTTAAGTGCGCGCGCTGCAATGCTGGCGGCCCGGGTTCGGATCCCGGGTGCGCATCGAGGCACCACTTCTCTGTTCATCCTGAGGCCGAGTCCCACATACAGCAACTAGAAGGATGTGCAGCTATGACACACAACTATCCACTGGGGCTTTGGGGGGAAAAAATAAAATAAATAAAAATCTTTATTAAAAAAAAAAAAAAAGAAACACAAACTGACTGAGATTTGGGGAAGTAAAAGATAAAGCACCAGTTCATGTAAGATACTCAATAAATATTATTCTTTATATATAAATATAGTGCCAAGTTTTTCTCAGCCTTCAGTGATTTTATAATCAGGAAAAAATATTTTAATAAAGAAATGGAAGGAATGATATTCCTTTTCAGGACTCTCTTGAATTTTCTGAGAATTTCTTTAAAGTATCTAAAATTATTGTCTACTTAGCATTATTTCACTGATTTTCCCACAAAAGAGAATGCAATACACACAGAACTGAGAAGTGCCTTTGTTCTCTACTAAAGTGACAAAGCTGGCAAGTGACATTAAGCTTCCTGACTCCACATCCAGTCTCATAACTCCTCAATCTAATCCCAAAACCCTGAGAAGCTTCTTACCACTTGGCCTTCGGAAAAGAACAGTCAAGTTGTCAGGGTCCTGTGGGGTGGCCTCCGGGCCCATTTCATCACTGTCAGACTCTTCAGCCATGGCCTCTTCTCCTTCCTCATGCTGCCAGACCCCCTGCCCTGGCTCCTCAGTCTCAGCATCACTGCCCACCAGGCCAGAGTGAGAAGCTGCCTCTTCCAAGCCGTTACTGGGCAGGGCGATGACCTGGGCACTCATCAGGGCTTCCATCTCTTCAAAGAAGGGGCAGGTCTCAGGTGGGTGGCCACCCTTGACTTTCCGATAGCTCTTCTGGAGACCTTTGAACTTGGTCCGACACTGTTCCAGGGTCCGGAGGAAGCCATACTCTCGGAGCCGCTCAGCCACAGCCCCATATACTTGGCTGTTGCGGTGACAATTTCGAAGAGCCTCATAAAACTCAGTCTGACTGAGAATCGCGAGGAGAGTTCTGGTCTCTTCATAGCCCCAGTGCACACCTGCCACCTTCTCATCCTCAAAGCCCCAGTGATCCTGCTCCACCCAGCTTCTTCTCTCTCTCCTGGATGGTAACGGATCAGCATGCATTCGTCTGTCTCCTGTGTGACTGCCTCTTGGGAGTTCCTTCTCCTTGGAGCCCAAATCTGGGATCCATGGCTCTCCTTGCTCCAACCTGGAGACCACACCGGATTTAGGAAATGGAAATCCTGCTTGCAGGAAGCAAACAAAGGATATCATAGTTTGGATGGATCATAAAAAACATCTCTGAGTTCAGACCTGCCTTTTTTATCCAAGAAGCTTATAAGAAAGTGTCTAAGGAAATGTTTTCAGAAAGTTCAATGAGTTGGAGAAAGTGGGGAAAATACATGAAACTTCAAAAAAGGAGAAATATTTTATTTTCCAGAGCAAAGTGACAAGAGAGGAAAAGGTTCTGTGGTGTGTTCAGAGCAGATACTTTTGTTCCAAGTTGCTCCCTAGCCCTCCTGACCACTTGTAGGAAGGTTCTGGCACTGCTGGGAACAGTCACCTTCTGTCTCTATAGTTCTCCACTTGCGACTAGAGAATTAAACTCTGAGTGATTCCAAAGGGGAGGGGAGCGGAGGGGAGACTCTTCAACTCATTTGTTGCCTTCACACTCAGTAACCAAGTTCTAAAAGTTTTTCCCTTAGTATGTCCTTTACTCCTACTGCCACCATCCAAGTCTAGACTCCTTATCCTCTCACACCTGGATAACTGCAGCAGTTACTATCCGACCTCACTCCAAGTTCTTGCTTCCTCAGGTAACATGCTATACTGCTGGACGTTAACCTGAGTGCCTACCATGCACTGTCCATTCCTACCAGACTCTCCTCTCCAGAACACAGGACACATTTATTCACCACTCTCTGCCTTTCCTTTAACTCCCTTTCTCCTATCCAAATTTAATCCACCCTTCAAGAAGCTGTATTTGCCAATGCCCCCATGAAGCCTTCCCTACAACCCTCCCTCATCTCCCACTCCGCCAATCCCCTACTGTACTCACACAATTGAGTAACAAATCATGGTTTGGTGGTGTTTTGGTACAGTTCGGTTAGGCACATATTTATGTTTGCTGTTACGTTCTCAATTATATTGTAAACTCTTTAAAGATAGGCACCTTTTCTTATTGCAGAGTACCCTACAAGGTGTTCAGCACATGGTGTTCAAAAACTGATTCATTCTGCAAGTCTGTGTATGGGGTTGAGAGACTGCATCTGGATGACTAAACAAAGACCATTACCAAACTGGCTGAGAAAGCTAGTGTCTTAGATGATAAGATCAGAATTCAAAACAACCCCAACAAGTTAAAGAAATGATCAAAGAAAACATACAAAATGGAGTTTAACAGAGTACAAAGAAGAAAAACAAGTTCTATAAAATCAAGTATAAGAATAAGCACTAGGCACAAAGACAATGGGGAAGGCTGTAAGCATCCTGGGAGTTACCAAGTGAACAGTAGTCATTAAATAATTTTTTTCAGCTATACTGAAAGAAAATGTAGTGAAACTGAAATAAAATTCTTACTCTGCCTGTACCTACCAGACCCTCACTGGAATACATAATTTAGTTCTCCACAGTTAATATATTTGGAGAACTGAAAGGTTCCAAGAAAGAGTAACAAAAACTTAGTAGGTCTGAAGAGTGGAGCTTCTAGAGGAAAGCTTAAAGAAACAAATATAGTTTAATTTGGAGAAGGAAAATGACTGAAAGAAAGATGTGCCTTCAAGTACAGAAAAGAATTTTTATCTAGAAAATACTGACCTAGTATCATTACCAACAGGAAGTAAAATAGTTCCAAGTTCTGATAAAAACTGGGAAGCCATCCTCTTGCAGACTTATCAAGAGGAAATATAAGAATACTTACTGCAGCAGAGGGCTAAACTACATGCCTTCAGGAGGTCCCCAACAACCACATACTCTACAATTTCCACTCATTCCTGCAATCCCTTTCCCACTCCTATGCCCAACCCTACTTCCCAACTTAGAATGGCATCCTATCTTCCCATATGAATCTACTCCTCACCGCTCCTTTGAAAAGGTCTGAGCTTCTCCTTTGGATTCATCTGCTCCTGTGGTCCCAGGTCTGGGCTTCTTGCCCTCTCTTTCTTGGGTACACCCCTGGGCTGGGGTTCCACTGACTCCTGCCGAACAATTAATAACTCTTGTGATGATTTCAGGGGTGTCATCTTCTCCAAGCGCACTTCCTGCCCCTTCACAGAGACTGTGACCTAGAAACAACCCCCGTTAATTGTCACTGCAAGGTCATAATGAGGGGCATTCCCAGAGAAGATTATTTAATACTCCAAAAGAGATCATCCTTTGAGACATGGCTAGGGTTGGGGGGGTGGTTAATAGTGAACAAAGGTCTGTCTTATTCCATTACTGTTACTTAGAGCAGCTGGAACTCCAGAAGGAAAAGATAAAAATAGTAAATCCAACTACAGGCTAAAAAAGATTCCCCTTCCCTATTAAACTATGAAAGTACATATAACTCATTGTGACAGGGTAGCAAAGGTACACCCAGATAAGGTCTGTCTGAACAAGTTACCTGTTCCAGGACCAGAAGCATCACCAAAGGAGATTGTGCCCCTCTTTAAACCTGTCTATACCTTAATTTGGCCCTTTATCCTTGCCCCTTCCCAGTCACACACTTGTGAATTCCCTCTCCCGTCTCACCGAACGTCCAGGTCTTCCAGGCTGTCTTTCTAAATCTTCCACCAGAGCCACTGCCTCCTCTCCACTCTCTGGACATTGCTCCTGTACCCAATTCTGGATCTCCCCAGGTAAGACGGTCAGGAACTGCTCTAGCACCAACAATTCTACAATCTGCTCCTTGGTGCGCACCTCCGGCCTTAGCCACCGACAGCAAAGTTCCCAGAGTTGGCTGAAAGCCTCCCGGGGCCCAGCTACCTCCTGGTAATGAAATCTCCTGAAGCGCTGTCGGAAGGTCTCCGAGTTAGTGCCATTCCCTCTCAGAGTGGGTTTGGCCATCGTTCACAGCAGAAACCAGCTTCCCTCCGCTTAAGGGTCAGGGTTCCAGGGTTTGCACCTATCTTCCCATGTCCTTGGAGAATCACCTGCAGATGAGTCTCCCTCTGTTAAGAAGAGTTTCTTCCTAGGGTAGAGAGAGATGGAACTATCAGAAGGAATATACTCATGTCTAAAGTCTTGCCAGAGCTGGGCTGACTTCCCGTATGCTCTACGTGGCCACCTGAGGTAGCACCAACTTGAGGACAGCAAGGCAAAACAGCATGAAGGAGAGAGACCTTGCAAAAACTCCATTTCTGGGTGACTTTCAGGGCAGCCCCGGCAAGCAACAGAGAATAGAAAGTACTGCCTGCTCCTCCTCCACCTCCCCCAAATCTGATCCCATTTTGCTCCCGTCACCAATGCTGCATAGTGAACCATATGGGAGACCCGGAGCTCGAAAGGATCTACAGGGAGGTCACCATCCTGCTGAAGGCAACAAAAAGCCTCTGTCCAGCGGGTCGCAGCTGATCTCCCCCAGTACCTCTGCAGTCCTTCCCGAGGCCCCTACGTCCGCCCCGCCTCCTCAGACTCCACAACTACCAATTCCCACCCCAGACGAAAATCAAGTACTGAATACTGGGTCTTTGTTTTCCCTCACAGCAGAAGTAACCGCTCGGCAAATATTCAGGAACTACTGACGGGAAACCTGGCGCATTGGGAGAAGTTGGTTTTGGCTCCTGAAGCGAGGGCCAGGTGGGCTCGGGGAGAGTCACTGAGGTGGTGGAGAGAGGAAGTCCGAGGGGGCAGTAGTAATGTGTCTCCTGAGGACGAGCTTGGGTGCTGGCCAGGGCTCCGAGCGCTGCGGTGTCTGCGAGCGCGGAGCTCAGCTCAAGGAACGGCGCGTGCGAGGTTCCGGCCTCTTTGTCTTCGCTCCCTCCGGCCAGGGCACTCTCGGAGCCATCGTGCAGTCCCTCCAGAGGCCTCCGACGGGGCTAAAGCGCCCTGAGAGCACCCTCCGGCTCACCCCTGGGAGCGTCTCCCTCTCGGGCTGTCCCTCAACCCGCTCACATCTCTGCCCCGGGGCCAGCCTCACCAACTCGGGGTCCGGCCCCAGCTCGGGCTCTACCAGCCTCCCAGTCCGGCTCCCAAACCGGAAGTCCGAGCGAGCGACTCAGGCGCTGACGGCGCATGCGCAAGGTCAGACACAGAGACTCCTCTCGTGTGGAAAGCCGGCGGCAGCGAGCGAGTGGGCCTAGCCGAGCGCCGCACACTTCCGGGACCCGGCGCGCCGACCTCTTCCCCGCTTCCCCTCCGCACCTCCAGCAGCAGTTGTCTTGGCGGGTAGATTCGGGGGGAACCGCCCGTCCCAGGGGCTTGTGCGCGGGTCGGGAAGGGGCACTCGCCTCCGAGGTCTCCTGGAGAGGTGCTGGAGGAGGGGGCGGCGGATATAGTGACTCGAGGTCCGCCGTCGGAATGATCCACGAACTGCTCTTGGCTCTGAGCGGGTACCCAGGGTCCATTTTCACCTGGAACAAGCGGAATGGCCTCCAGGTACTGTCCGGCTCAGAGCGGGGGAACTAGCTAGTGCAGAATGGGTGGACCTGCCAATGCTTGGGGAGGAGTCTGAGGGACCGAGGGGGCGGGGCTTGCGGGGGCTGAGGCATTCGCGGGGCGTGTCCCTGGGCAGGTAACTGTAGGGCAGTGCCTGAGGAGCCTACGGGTGTTGTAGACACCCTGAGAAGGCTGGGCCTAGGCTGGGGAACGGAGGGCAGACCTCGACGGGCCATGCCTTCCGGGAGAAGGAGGGAGCCCGGGACCCGGCCTGAGGTGGAGGTGTCTGAAAGAGAGTTCCTGGGGAACTGGACGTAAAAGTGAGGGAGGCACTTTCTCCCATTTTCACGTTTGCACTCTGTTTTAAACTGAGTTTTGAAAGCTAGTCCAAATACATAGCGCTTAACACACAATAAAGGTTCAGCAAATTTCGTTGAATGAAAGAATAAATGAGAGTGTTTCCCTCATTACTCCTTTTCCAGGAAATTTCTGCACTAGGAGAATTTGGAAGGGGGCCTTCGTGTAACTAGGAATGTATGAAGAGGAAGGGCTATGTACCATAGGCATTATCTCATTTAATCTTCACAATCACCTATCTCCATTTCACAGATTAACTCCCAGTGTCCGTGTAGCTAGTAATTTGTGAGCTTGATCTTGAACCCAGGTCTGTCTGGCTCCAGTATCTGAACTACTCTTTTCTACTTCTGCTTTCAGCAATGTTATCTAATTCTCAATAATTTAATAACTTAGGTATTGTTAGCCCCAGTTTACAAATGAGCAAACTGAAGCTCAGAGAACTTTATGGTAGCTAGTCCTAGTAATGGCAAGATTTGAATCTAGCTCTGTCTGATCACAAAATCATGCCTTTTCCTATGAGAATTGGCAGTATAGGCTGTGGAAGAGCAGAAAAATTACATTCTTAGTCTATAAAATCTACCAATCAAATAGATTCCTCTGGTTATTGTTTATTTTCCCCCGTAAAACTAGCATAGTGCCAAGCAGATAGGAGGAAAATGTTCAGGAAGTATTTGTGGGTGCTTGAGTGTCTGAAGTAAAAGGAAATATCAGAGTATAGGAAAGATAGCTGCCTTCCTTTCTTTCTTATAAAAAGGTCTCAATCAGATATTTTCCTCCTCAAGATCTCAGCTTTAAAGTCACCTCCTCAGAAAAACTTTGTCTGACCACCTCTTTGAGTATCCTCCCCATATTGCCATTATTCTCTATCACAGAAACTTGTTTGTTTCCCTTATAGGACTTAGCACAATTCATATTATTTATTGTTGTTACTTGTTTATAGTCTTTTTCTCACATAGATTGCTCACGGGGGCAAAGACCACAGTGGTCTTCACTGATCTACCCAGAGCACCCAGCACAATTTCTGCCACGTAGTAGGTGTTCAGATATTTGTAGAAGAAAAGAAGATCACCAAAACCAGCAAATGTTACATACTTTCTGCAGAGAAGTGTTTTTCACATTCGAATAAAGGGAAAAGTTGTCAGGAATGCCCAATGTTGATCAAAAATATCTTATTGTAATACTGAATATGTATACACATTAAGCTAAGTATAAAATCAAACATATAGCTCTTAAATAACTATAAAAAGAAATATTTTTACAAAGTAAACAGAACTACCCAATCGATAACTTCAAATTAACATTAACCTAATGCAGAGTTTCTCAACCTTGGCAGTGTTGACATTTTGGACTGGATAATTCTTTGTTGTGGGGGGGGGGGCTGGCCTGTGCGTTGTAGGATGTTCCGCAGCATCCGTGGTCTCTACTCACCAGATGCCAGTAGTACTCCCCAAGTTGTGGCAACCCAAAAATATCTCCAGACATTACTGAATGACCCTTGGGGGCAGAATTGCCCCTGATTGAGAACCACTGATCTGATTAACATATATTATTGTTTTGCTGAAACTAAATCGCCAACAATTGAGTTTAATAAAGACCTTGCTACAGATCTGGTTCTGTATTTTCTATTTTTTTTTTCCCTTTTTCTCCCCAAAGCCCCAGTAGATAGTTGTATGCCATAGCTGCACATCCTTCCAGTTGCTGTATGTGGGACGCCGCCTCAGCATGGCCGGACAAGCGGTGCATCAGTGCGCGCCTGGGATCCGCACCCAGGCCCCCAGTAGCAGAGCGCGCGCGATTAACTGCTAAGTCACGGGCCGGCCCCTGTATTTTCTATTTTGACTTCAGTAACACTAATGTAGAGAATGCTTGTTAATATAAGTAGCTTGTACCAAATGGTATCAGTAACATTAAAGTATTGTTTGCTGTTTCAGAATAACTAGACCTTGAACTTTTCTAAAACTCTGCCAACAAGCACTGCTCAAAATGCCAATTTTAGTGGGAGTATCACTTGTTAACTGGGTAGAGATGTCCTAATAATAAAAAATTGCTTACATGTATTAAGCACTTGCTGTGTGCTTGGCACAAGTGATTTACATGTATTAGCTTATTTAATCCTCACAATGATTGTCTCTACTTTATCGGTATGAAAACTGAGGCACAGAGAGGTATGGTAACTTGCCTAAGATTTCAAACAAGTAAGAGGCAACTCAGGGATTCAAACCCAGGCAGTCTGGCTCCAAAAACCAGGTTCTTAAGCACTATGTCATGTACCTCTTAAGTTATTAACTTGAAGATATGGTTAGCATTGTGTCATTAAAATCTACATTAAATGGATTCCTATCAAATTATTGTGGACTCAGTAACAGAAAAATTTTTCTTTGCCTATTTGTTACCACATTTACTGTCATATAGAGATGGCATCCACAAAATACAATACTCACAATATGAATATGTAATATGCTAAGTTCCTTGGGGTAGTAACTATCTGATTTTGTTCACTATTTAATCTCTGAATGTTAGCACAGTGCATGGGTTAAGCAGGTGTTCATTAAAAGTTAGTTGATTCTCCAAAGAAGGTATACAGTGGCCAATACACAAGTGAAAAGATGATCAGTATCACTAGTCATTAGGGAAATGCAAATCGAAAGTGCCATGAAGTACCACTTCATGCCCTTTAGGATGGCTATTATCAAACAGAAAATAACAAGTGTTAGTGAGGTTGTGAAGAAATTAGAACCTTTGTGCATTGCTGGTGAGAATGTAAAATGGTGCAGACCCTGTGGAAAACAGCATGGTGACTCCTCAAAAAATTGAACATAGAATTACCAAATGATCTAGCAATTTCACTTCTGAGTATATACCCAAAAGAATTGAAAGCGGGAACTCCAACAGATATTTTTATACCCTTGTTCATAGCAGCATTATTCACTATATACATTCGTATATAGCCAAAAGATGGAAGCAACTCAGGTGTCCAGGGACAGATGAATTGGATAAACAAAATATGGCATATACATGCAGTGAAATATTATTCAGCCTTAAAAGGGAAGGAAATTCTGACACATGCTACCACATGGATGAACCTTGGAGACAGTGTGCTAAGTGAAATAAGCCAGTCACAAAAGGACAAATATTGTATGATTCCACTTATCTGAGGTACCTAGAGTACTCAAAACATAGAGACAGAAAGTAAAAGGGTGGTGCCAGAGGCTGGGGGGAGGGAGAATGGGGAGTCATTGTTAAATGGGTACAGAGTTAGTTTGGGAAGATGAAAAAGTTCTAGAGGTGAATGGTGGTGATGGTTGCACAAAAATGGGAATGCACTCAATGCCACAGAACCATACATTTAAACATGGCTAAAATGGTAACTTTTATGTATATTTTGCCACAGTGTTTTGTTTTGTTTTTTACAGTTAATTGAACAAATATATTCTCCCACTGCTTTTTTCTACTTGAACTTCTGTGAAACCTTTATATAGCATACAAGACTATCATTTGGCCATCATTTAAATCAAAAATACAAATGAAAACATGGACACTAAATTTATATGTCTGCTTATAAGGTGCTTTTACAGTATGCTGCA